CCCGCTCACTGGCTGAGCGAGGCGCGGGGGCAACACCGAGGGTTGCGATCCCGTTGCCGGTCCCGGTCCAGTACGGGGGCGACACTGAGGGTTGTGATCCGTTGCCGGACACGGAAAAAGACAAAAAAAATAAATAAATAAATAACAAACAACGAGATTAAAGTGGTAATCAGCAACATTCCAACAAAGAAAAGCCCAGGATGGATGGCTTTACAGCTGAATTCTACCAAAACTTTAAAGAGGAATTAATACCAATTCTCCTCAAACTATCCCAAAAAATTGAAACAGAAGCCATTCTCCCAAACTCATTCTATGATGCCAACATAACCCTGATACCAAAACCAGATAAGACACAACAACAAAAAAGAAAATTACAGGCCAATATCCTTGATGAACATAGATGCAAAAATCCTCAACAAAATATTAGTAATCAGAATACAACAACACATCAAAAACATTATACACCATGATTAAGTGGGATTCATTCCAGGACTGCAGGGATGGTTCAACTTATGAAAGTCAATAAATGTGATACATCACATTAATAAACTCAAGGACAAAACCCATATGATTGTCTCAACACATGCTGAAAAAGCTTTTGACAAAATTCAACATTCCTTCATGGTAAAGACTTTCAACAAATTAGGTATAGAAGGAAAGTATCTCAACACAATAAAAGCCATCTGTGACAAACACACCACCAGTAGCATTCTGAATGGGGAAAACCTGAAGACTTTCCCTTAAGAACAGGAAAAAGACAAGGATGTCCACTCTCACCACTTCTATTTAAAATAGTACTGGATGTACTAGCCAGAGCAATCAGGCAAGAGAAAGAAATAAAGGGCATCCAGATTGGAAAAGATGAAGTCAAACTGTCCCTATTTGCAGGTGACATGATAGAAAAACCTAAAGATCAAAAAACTCCTAGAGCTTGTTAATAATTTCAGAAACATTGCAGAATACAAAATAAATAACCCCAAATCAGTTGTATTTATATTCTCCAACAATGAGCTAACAGAAACAGAAATCAAGAAAGTAAGCCCATTTACAACAGTCACAAAGAAAGTAAAATACCTAGGAATCAATTTAACCAAGGTGGTGAAAGATCTCTACAATGATAACTATGAAACACTACTGAAAGAAATTAAAGACACAAAAAGATGGAAAGACATTCCATGCTCTTGGATTGGAAGAATTAACATTGTGAAAATGTCTATACTACCCAAAGTGATCTACAGATTCAATGCAATCTCCACCAAAACACCAATGACATTCTTCACAGAAATGGAAAGAACAATCTCAATATTCATACAGAACAACAAAAGACCCTGAATAGCCAAAGCAATCCCGAGCAAAAAAAATAAAGCTAGAGGCATGACACAACCGAATTCAAATTATACTGCAAAGCTATAGTAATCAAAACAGCATGGCACTGGCATAAAAATAGATACTGGGACTAATGCAGCAGAATAGAGAACTCAGAAATCACTCCTCAGGCTTACATCTGTCTGATATTTGACAAGGGGAACAAAAACATACTTTCGGTAAAAGACTGCCTCTTCAATAAGTGGTGTTGGAAAAATTGGATATCCATATGCAGAAGAATGAAACTAGACATGCACCTCTAACAATACACTAAAATCAACTCAAAATGGATTAAAGACTTAAGTTTAAGACATGAAACTGTAAAATTACTAAGGGAAAACATAGGTGAAACACTTTAGAAACTAGGTCTGGGCAGACTTTACGAACATGAGTCTGAAAGCACAAGCAACAAAAGAAAAAAATAAACAAATGAGACTATATTAAACTAAAAAGCTTCTGCACAACAAAGGAAACTATCAACAGAATGAAATGGCAACCTACAGAATGGGAGAAAAATTTTGCTAACTATACATCCAACAAGGGATTAATATCCATAATATACAGGGAACTCAAGCAATTACACAGTAGAAAACCAAATAACCCAATTAAGAAATGGGCATGCTTCCACTATGGATCTGGCCATTACATCTTAGGCAGGAGTGGTGACAATTTGCTTAGTACCCCATGAATATTCATAACCAATCATTTAAAAAGTGTTAAACTTGAGAGAGAACAACATAGAGTCATCTATGACTTAACACAAATATTGGAAAGTGTGGGAAAAACTGTTAGTTGTTCTTACCATTCATTCTCCCTTCCTTCCTCAATCATAAATGTCCCAAGTCTTAGTATCACACGTGGCCATATAGACAACCACGGGATTCCTCAAGCCCTCTTGCAGATAGGTGTGTCTATGTGACTAAGTCTGCACCAAAAGGACATATGTGGAGGCGAGGTCTGTCACTTCTAGGCTGTTCTTCAAGTTAGGGGACAATCACTTCTCCTTTCATGTTTTTCTGTCTGACGGTGGGTGGTGGAAGTGAAGGATGGACCTTGAGCCATGATGTGAGAGCACAGACGGAAGCTACGTGTGGTAACCAGCAAAACGTAGCAAAAACGTAGAGCAACAATTTAGAAGGAGCTTACGTTTGGGATGAGCCACCGTGGCCGCCTGAATCGTCTTCTGGTCTAAGGCAGCATGATCAGCACGTGTGTGCGTGTGTGTGCGTGTGTGTGTGTGTGTGTGTGATGCACAGCCAAGCCTAATCGTAACCAATACAGAAGGTAAAAAATGATTCTTCCGTCTAAATCTTACTCCTGTGACATACTGATGTTAATTGCACATGAGGAATTGCTTTTCTTTTGGAAATTAATATACGCTTGTATCAGACAAGTGACAGACAAACTCTGCATGAGAACATTATTCTAGTTTGTGATAGTGCTTAGTGTTAGAATGCTTTTCCTCTAGCACGCTCTTTTCAATTATTAAAATGTTAGGTTACATGTATTCTTCTATGAAGGTACTTAGTAAGTCCTATATATTTCTACTTTTTTTTTTCTCAAGGTCTCCTACTCCAAAGTTTTATCTCTTCTTTTTGTGGTAGTGTTCCATCATCATTTTGTAGTTTATCTGATATCTCTCCTAATATTGTAATAGCTTATCTTCTACTAGTTCTCAGAATCAATACTGATGGTTCAGACATTTTTATCCTTTCACCTTCTAAACACTTTTTAAACAATTTTAATATGTAAATAAATGCTTGGAAACAGAAGAAAATCATAAGTAATCATTTTTATTTATCGCCCATCAATATGAAAAAAATTTACTAGAGATTATTACTTTAGTGACTAATAAAATAAAATACTGTAATAAAATAAAAATAACCTGTACATAAGCCTTGTAACACATATTCAAGCAATAGGAATACACATTAGCATAGAATGGACACATATATATGTGTCCCACATAAGTATAGCCACATATATGTATCACAGACAAATACACAGATATATAAATACATACACGGGTATTTTTGCGGGAAAAAATTTGGGTGTGAAGATAAAGACTGCTTAGCACATAGAAAGTCAAGAAGGAGGTTCTCTCTACTTTTCAAAGAGGGAATAATGACCTCCCTCTCATTGCAAGTTCTGGTTTAATGGGGTGAGATGAAGGTAACTGGGGTGTTCATGTCACACATTTGGAGATAAGGAGATGACAAAGCAAGCACAGTTGTATGTATCTTAGAGGAGACCAATGATTTTTAAAATGCTATTGAACCAGGTGTAAGTAGTCATGCTGGGTTAAAGGGGAAGTGGCCCTATGCTCTGTTCCTGGGCACATGGCCATAGAGATGAACAGTGAGGAGCGTGATATTATATCCAGATGTCCACGCTTGTCTCCTTAATTCAACTTGTTTTTTGAAGGCTTTGAAGCTCTGATGCATCAGAGAGAACACACACAACCCATCATCTAGAATTGAATCTAAAATAAAAGGACATATCTCATCTCCAACATTCTGAGGAGCTCTTATACGGAGGAATGGGAAAAGCATCTGGGTGCTGCTCAAGAGAAGAGCTACCGAGACTTACTAACTAATGGGAACGATGACCTTCCAGGAGGACCCACATGAGTTTTCTGGTTGCTGTTCTCAAGAGCACCCATAGGAGCTTAATCAGGTGAGGGGGAGAAGACATTTATAAGTTGGATGACTTCTTTCCCCCTCGAAAAATAAAATCAATTTATTTTTCCAGAACTGATAGTGCATTTGGGGGTAAGAGAGGTACTTGTCATTAGTTAGAGACAATTTTCTAATTTTAACTTTTCTATGTGAATATGTAACTCACATGATTGCAATAGCAAAGGGATGTTACTTCTAATTCCGAGCTTCTGTAGTGTGGATGGAAAAAAAACCATTATCTCTTTGGGATAAGAAAGAATGAGTGTAGGACGGTCAGGAAAATGGAGGTGGTAGCAGAGTCCCAAAACTGTGGAGAGGGAAATGTTGCATCGATATATGTCAAAATACACATAAGGTATTCACGCCTTTATTACTGTCAATTTCTTTCACTATTTTGTTATCTCTATGTGATATCACCCATCATATGCCTCCACATTTCCTAATGTAGTTCTATGTACTTGGAAAGAAGTAGGGATTGCATTTTGAATATTCCAAATGGTTAAAATTATTTATTTTAGAGATTACACTTTTAGAAATGTTTCCCTATACACTTAGTCAAAAATCTTAGGTGCACAAAGTATTGAGTATATCAAAGGATACTGAGCCAATCTATGTATCCCATAAATTAAGATAAATAAGTCTTGCCTAAAGAGTGTCGTTATATATAGATATATAAAGTATATTCACCCACACAAAGGCCTTTGAAGATTAAAACAAACAAAAAAAGATTTAGAGGCAATATAGTTGCTCTGTGTAGACTGACCTGGGGCATCTCAGAAGTGGTGCTGCCTCCATGTGACTGATCCTATGAATCCAGCCCTACACTTGGCCCCGTTCTTCCATATAATCAAGCACTAGCAGTGATCTCATTACTGTGGACATACATTTCTGTCTCTCGACTGCTTTCTCCCTGTATCTTCTCCTGTATACACTTTTGCTAAACAAAAAGACCCCTTTTCACGAGAAACTTCTTCTTTCAAGGAACTTCTTTAGGGCAACTTTGACATCCTTATTCCTCAGGCTATAGATGAGTGGGTTCAGCATGGGCACAAGAGTAGTATAAAACACAGAGGACACTTTCCCTTGGTCCATGGAGCTGACAGATGATGGCTGCAGGTACGTGAATGCTGCAGATCCAAAGAAGACAGCAACTGCGGAGATGTGGGAGCTGCAAGTGCTGAAGGCTTTGGACCTGCCCTCAACAGAGTGGATGTGGAGCACGCTAGCAATGATGAAGATGTAGGAGGCAATGATGGTTAGTGCAGGAGTCAGAATGTTAAATGCACTCAAGACCAGAACGAAGAATTCATTGATGTAGGTGCTGGAGCAGGATAGCTCCAGGAGTGGAAAGAGATCACAGAAATAATGGTTAATCATATTGGTCTTGCAAAAATTTTCACAATGTTGATTCTTCCAATCCAAGAGCATGGTCAGCCTTTATGGAAAATGGTATGGAGGTTCAAACAATTGCAGATAGATCTATCATATGACCCAGCTATCCCACTGCTGGGAATATACCCAGAGGAATGGAAATCATCAAGTCAAAGGTATACCTGCTCTCCAATGTTCATTGCAGCACTATTTACAATAGCTAAGAGTTGGAATCAGCCCAAATACCCATCATCAAATGAATGGATACAGAAAATGTGGTATATCTACACAATGGAATATTACTCTGCTACAAAAAGGAATGAAATATTGCCATTTGCAACAACATGGATGGACTTAGAGAAAATTATACTAAGTGAAACAAGTCAGGCACAGAAAGAGAAATATCACATGTTCTCATTTATTTGTGGGAGCTAAAAATAAATAAATAAATACACAAATACACTGTTGGGGGGGAGGGAGGAAGACACAGCAATCACAATTCCTTGAAGTTGTTACGACAAGCAAACAGACATGAGGTTGTTGGGAGGGAGTGGGGAGAGGGAGGGGGGAGGGACGTTTCAATAATGGGTTGTAATAATCAACCATATTATATATTAATAAATTTTAATTAAATTAAAAAAAAGATAGAACTAAGAAAACATTTTTTTTCCTTTTTTTTGTCTGTTTTCATGACCGGTAATGGGATCGCAACCCTCGGTGTCGCGCCCGCACCACGCTCAACCAGTGAGCGGACCGGTCTCTATATGGGATCCGAACCCTTGGTGGGAGCGCCGCTGCGCTCCCAAGCACCACACTCTACTGAGTGTGCCATCGGGCCGGCCCTAGATTCCTAGGAAGAGGAGGAAGAGGGGCAGCTGAAGCTCTGGCTGTTCTGAGAGCCCAGCAAGGATGAACTCAGTCACTGAGGAATGATTTCCAGGGTCCATTATGCTGTCAGCATATCCTAAGTTAGCAAAAAAGAGAAAATAAGTAAATGAGTGTACGTGTGTGTACATGTGTGTGTGTGTGTGTGTGTGTGTGAGAGAGAGAGAGAGAGAGAGAGAGAGAGAGAGAGAAACTGTGAGGATCATTATTTTATCTCACAACAGAGGAGGTAATAGTTAAGGCCTTTAAGTTAAGTTTAAAAGAAAAAACCCCAGTTAAAATGACGTGTCCATGGATATGTTTCTTCTGTTTACATGTGCCACTTACTGAGTTTTGCATCAAGTATTATGCATATTTACTGGCTTTTTTTTTTTTTTTTGTACTAGCGGTAAATTCAATAGAGGGCTTGGCACAGTGCCCTGCTTATACCAAGTCTCAATAAATATGTGTTCAACGTAACTGTTAAAAGAGTCCTAGAGATAAGTTAATACAGATTCAAAATAACTAGAGAAAGCCCTCGCACTACCTTAGTTAAAATGAGTGAACAAAAAGCGTTTGCTAGAATTTTATACTGCAGGGGACAGGGAGATGATATGGAACGTGTGCTCATCAGGGAGTGTGAATCTTAGAACGGGATGGGTAGAGATAAATAAATAGCCATGTGCATCTCTATTTGCACAGGAAGAGAAGCTAGAGTAGAAGATGCTAAGATTTTGCAAGTCAAGGGCTGGGATTCAGACATACCCCACTTCCATCCCAGAGAGGTCCACGTTGCACGGTTTTCTTCATTTCTCGGGAGGAAAAAAATGATTCTGATGATTTGAGGAGTTAATAGCCCAAAAGTTTTCTTGACAATTATTTTGAGTCACTCACGCTGATCTCTGATAAAGCTGATGCCCAAGGCCATCGGGCCTTCTGCTAAAGTCGGTTGATGTGATGATTTTATATGCTGGTTATAGAAAAGAAGAGTATGGTTAGGAACAAACAAGGATAATGACCTCCCAGTAGAGTCTAACCCCACAAGTATCAGCTCTTGGGGAAAAAACAATTAGAATTTTCCTTTTCCCCTGTTGGTTCTCAAGTGTTTAATATTGTCACAAAGGTTTGATTTATTGAATGAAAGCAGCCCCCAAGTTACCATAAGGCAGATATTGCCAGAGACCCAGGAGGAATTCCTAACAAGCCTAATGAAGGGAGATGATGACTTTTTTCTTTTGAAAATAAAAGAGAAAAGTGAAACAATAAACACATGTATTAGAGAAATTATGTTATACTATGTACAGACTAAACTATTTGTTTGCTGGTCAAATTTATTTAATGTTTTCTTCAATATTTGCTAAATCTTATGTTGGAGACAATTGCAATTTTTAAAGTTAAATTTACTTTGAAATGCTGTATGTTATTGTTAGATGTTGGGCTTTAATCTGTTTAAAGTTATCTTTGGAAATTGCTGTGAACAGAGTAAAAAAAAAAAGGGACAAAACAATTCATAAACTCAGTGGGAAATGTTTCTCATCAGGAATGATCAAATGATAGAAAAAGGAATATAATACGATGCAAGATAGAAGTTTCATTCTCAAGAATTTGACAATTTTGATAAAAACCCACAAGCATTCATCAACAGTAAACAATATTAGAGAAGACGTCATGATTAGAGCATGTGTGATGAACCAGAGGTGTGTCTGATCATAACCTGGAGTGATGAGTGATGCATTACACACTTGTGTTTGTCCTTGAATGGTGTAAAATTTGGAAAGGAAGGACGGAGTCAGGAAGCCATTTCAGTTTGGGAAATCACATGAACGAAGAGAAGGACCCGGGAATGAGCCCAGCTTTGTTGAAATATTATGGGAACTACTTTGCTGAGCATGGCATACACCTTTCCAGCAGATCTTAATAGTTATGAAAACATTAATATATTTTATTTATGCATTGCACATTTCATTTTAATCACATTTAATGCCACCCTTCTTCTTCCACGCAATACTAAATCCAAATGGTAAACTTGAGAGGGAACAACACAGAGTCATCTATGACTTAACCGAAATATTGGAAAGTGTGGAAAAAACTGTTAGTTATTCTTACCATTCATTGTCCCTTTCTTCCTCAATAATAAATGTCTCAAGTCTTAGTATCACACGTGGCCATATAGACAATCACGGGATTCCACAACCCCTCTTGCAGCTAGATTTGTCTATGTGACTAAGTCTGCACCAAAAGGATATATGTGGAGGCGAGGTCTATCACTTCTAGGATGTTCAAGTTGGGGTTCAATCACTTCTCCTTTCATGTATTTCTGTCTGATGGTGGGTGGTGGAAGTGAAGGATGGACCTTGAGCCATGATGGGAGAGCACAGACGGAAGCTATGTGTGGCAACCAGCAAAACGTAGCAAAAACGTAGAGCAACAATTTAGAAGGAGCTTACGTTTGTGATGAGCCACTCTGTTTTCCTGAATCGTCTTCTGGTTTAAAGCAGCATGATGTGTGCGCACGTGTGTGTGTGTGTGCGTGCGTGTGTGTGTTCCTTTTGCGTGTGTGTGTGTGTGTCTGATGCACACACACACACAAGCCTAATCGTAACCAATACAGAAGGTAAAAAAGGATTCTGTCTAAATCCTACTCCTGTGACATACTGATGTTAATTGTACATGGAAATTAATATACTCTTGTATCAGAAATGAAAGACAAACTCTGCATGAGAACATTATTCTAGTTTATCATAGTGCTAGTGTTAGAATGCTTTTCCTCTAGCACGCTCTTTTCAATTATTAAAATGTTAGACTTCATGTATTTTTCTATGAAGGTACTTAGTAAGTCCTATATATTTCTACCTTTTTTTTTTCTCAAGGTCTCCTGCAAAGTTTTATCTCTTCTTTTTGTGGTAGTGTTCCATCATCATTTTGTGGTTTATCTGGTGTCTATCCTGATAATGTAATAGTTTATCTTCCACTAGTTCTCAGAATCAATATTGATGGTTCAGACATTTTCATCCTTTAATCTTTTGAGCACTTTTTAACAGTTTTATATGTAAATAAATGCTTGGAAACAGAAGAAAGTCATAAGTAATAATTTTTATTTATCACCAGTCAATATGAAAAAAATTACTACATGTTGTTACCTTAATAACTAATAAAATAAAATATAATATAATAAAATATAAAATAAAAAATTACATACATATAAATCTTGTAAAACATATTCAAGCAATGTAAATACACATTAGTGTACAATGCACACATATACATATATGTTACACATAAGAATATGCACATATAAGTATCACCAATATATACGTATATAAATGCATACACGGGTATTTTTGTAGGATAAAAAATGGGGTATGAAGATGAAGACTGATTGGAACATAGAAAGTCAAGAACGAAGCTCCCTCTAGTTTTCAAAGAGGAAAAAAGTCCTCTCTCTCATTGCAAGTTCTGGTTTTATGGGGTGAGATGAAGGTTATCTGGGTGTTCATGTCACATATTTGGAGATAAAGTGATGACAAAGCAAGTGCTGTTTTACGTATCTTAGAAGAGACCAATGACTTTAAAAATGCAATTGAACCAGGTGTAAGTAGTCATGCTGGGTTAAAGGGGAAGTGGCCCTATGCTCTGTCCCTGGGTACATGGCCATAGAGATGAACAGTGAGGAGCGTGATATTCTATCAAGATGTCCACGCTTGTCTCTTTAGTGTAACTGTTTTTTTTTTTTTTTTGGAAGGCTTTGAAGCTCTGAGGCATCAGAATGAACACACACAACTCATCATCTAGAATTGAATCTAAAAGGACATATCTCGTCTCCAACACTCTGAGGAGCTCTTATATGGAGGAATGGGAAAAGCATCTGGGTGCTGCTGCCACCAGCAAGAGAAGAGCTACCGACACTTACTAACTAATGGGAACGATGACCTCCCAGGAGGACCAACATGAGTTTTCTGGTTGCTGTTCTCAAGAGCACCCATAGGAGCTTAATCGGGTGAGGGGGAGAAGACATTTATTAGTTGGATGACTTCTTTCCCCCTTAAAAAATAAAATCAATTAATTTTTCCAGAACAGATAGTGCAATTGGGTGTAAGAGGGGTACGTGTCATTGGTTAGAGATACTTTTCTAATTTTAACTTTTCTATGTGAATATGTAATTCACATGATTGCAATAGCAAAGGGATGTTACTTCTAATTCTGAGCTTCTGTAGTGTGGATGGAAAAAAAGCAATATCTGTTTGGGGTAAGAGAAAATGAGTGTAGGACTGTCAGGAGAATGGAGGTGGTAGCACAGTCCCAAAACTGCGGAGCGAGACATGTTGCATCGATATATGTCAAAATACACGTAACGTATTCACTCCTGTATTACTGTCAATTTCTTTCACTATGTTGTTATCTCTGTGTGGGTAGAAACTGTCTTATCACCCATCATATGCCTCCACATTTCCTAATGTACTTCGATGTACTTGGTAAGAAGTAGGGATTGCATTTTGTATATTCCAAATGGTTAAAATTATTTATTTTAGAGATTACACTTTTAGAAATGTTTCCCTATACACTTAGTCAAAAATCTTAGGTACACAAAGTATTGAGAATATCAAAGGATATTGTGCTGATCTGTGATCCCCTGAATTAAGATAAATAAGTCTTGCCTAAAGAGTGTCGTTATATATAGATATATAAAGTATATTCACCCACACGAAGGCCTTTGAAGATTAAAACAAACAAAAAAGATTTAGAGGCAATATGGTTGCTCTGTGTAGACTGACCTGGGGCATCTCAGAAGTGGTGCTGCCTCCATGTGACTGATCCTATGAATCCAGCCCTACGCTTGGCCCCGTTCTTCCAAAGAATCAAGCACTAGTAGTGATCTCATTACTGTGGACATACATTTCTGTCTCTCGACTGCTTTCTCACGGTATCCTCTCTACAAACTATACACTTTTGCTAAAGCAAAAGACCCCTTTGCACGAGAAACTTCTTCTTTCAAGGAACTTCTTTAGGGCAACTTTGACATCCTTATTCCTCAGGCTGTAGATGAGGGGGTTCAGCATGGGCACAAGAGTAGTATAAAACACAGAGGACACTTTCCCTTGGTCCATGGAGCTGACAGATGATGGCTGCAGGTACACGAATGCTGCAGATCCGAAGAAGAGAGCAACTGCGGAGATGTGGGAGCTGCAAGTGCTGAAGGCTTTGGACCTGCCCTCAACAGAGTGGATGCGAAGCACACTGGCAATGATGAAGATGTAGGAGGCAAAGATGGTTAGTGCAGGAGTCAGAATGTTAAATGCACTCAAGACCAGAACGAAGAATTCATTGATGTAGGTGCTGGAGCAGGATAGCTCCAGGAGTGGAAAGAGATCACAGAAATAATGGTTAATCATATTGGTCTTGCAAAACAAAAGCCTCAAAGTCAAGCCTGTATGAATTGTGGATCCAATGATACCCAGAACATAAGCTCCCACTGTGAGCCAGAAGCAGAGATGATAAGACATGGTGACACTGTAAAGCAAGGGGTTACAGATAGCAACATAGCGGTCATATGCCATTACAGCCAACGTGTAACACTCTGCAACAGCAAAAACAATGAAGCAATAAAGTTGAGGCATGCACTCAGCATAGGAGATGGTGTTCTTCTCTGTCACAAAGTTCACCAGCATTTTGGGGGTAATGACAGTGGAATGGCAGAGATCAATGAAGGAGAGACTGCTGAGGAAATAGTACATGGGGGTGTGCAGGTGAGCACTGAACCTAATCAGGGCAATCATGCCCACGTTCCCCACCACCGTGAGCACATAGATTCC